CCTACCACAACTGGGAGTGCTCGATCAGCTGAAATTCCTCCGCTAAGATCGTAGAAGTCCCGATACATTCCATAAGGAGGGCGCAGTCCTTGTTGCTGGCTACAATGATGGATGTGGCTTCCCTAGACGGGAGTTGGTCCTTGAAATCCCATCCTGAATGGAGGTCGGACGGCTGGCGGATTGATTACATCGGGCTCTAAGGCTGAGCTATCTGAATCTTCCTCGTCCTCGTCTTCCATGGATTCCTCCTCGGGATCGTCTACAATCCATCCTTCATTACCTTGGTTGGGGTAGTAGGGGTCGCCGGGGTGATGAAATCCAACAATTGAGTCTTGATGTGTGTAAAATGCACTTGTTTTATCCCTACTTTTTATTAATAAATTTAGCACACAAAGGCAGTGAACCTGTCTTTTAGTGGTATAGATTAGTAAGTAAGGTGTCGAACTCAGGGAATGGAAAATTAAACTAATAACTAATTTTAACTAAAACTTAATAAAAGTAAAAGGGGTTTCTTCTAGTTTTGCAAGACTAGAAACTTAGGCACACTAAGTTAACTAAATAACTAAAGCAACAACTAATTCACCAAATTTGATACAGATGTTTCTATTTAGGTTCAACCAATTCACTCCTATGGTTATTTGTATTTATGATAGATTAATTGTTATTGGTTACCAATTATAATGGTTAGGTTCATGTTCATTACTCCTAACTGTTAGACAATTAACTAATTTAGCAGTGATCAAGTGTTTAAACTAATTAATTCCCTAGATTAATGATTTGGATTAAATAAGATTTGTAGTGGTCAATTAAGTTACTAATTCAATTAACCTCTTGTTTGATGGTTTCTCAAACAAGCTCACACATTAATCTTCCTATTGTCTTATTAATCTTAGTTTCATAATCATTACTTCTAAGCATATGGTTTAGTACTAACATAGACATATGAGGTTAACAACTAAGAGATGTTCATGCAGCCTAATTGTCTTCCAATTAATAGAAAATAGTAGTGATTAATGCATAAGGTTCTTTAACAAACTTAATTTAATAGATCACCAATAAACAATCAAACAAAAACTAATAATTAAACCATAGGAGTTCCTTGGTATTCCCCAAACAGAAACAAAAACGAATTTAGTTCATAGTTGCAGTAGAAACAAACATAAAAACAAGTTTTACTAGATCAAACATATTCAATTCCTAAATCTAAGTGGTAGGATTAACCTAGTTGCTTGAATTCTTCAAAAGATTGAAACTTAGGGTTCCTCAGCGTCTTCTAGGGCTCTTAGTCGCAGCTTAACCTTCAAAAATCACCACAATGTTGCCCCATTGGATAAAGATTCGGTTTTTATAGATATCTCAAAACAGGGTGTACTCGGCGAGTAGCAGGACCAACTCGCCGAGTAGGTGCATAGTTATCCGTCTTGAATCAGGAATCGTAGCTATCTTCTGGAACACCCTCGTGTACTCGCCGAGTAGGTGGTCTTTTGTCTCTTATTTTCATTCTTTGGTCTTCAATTGCTTTCCGTTGCTCCCTTTTACTTCCAAGCATGTCTTTTGGACTAAAAACAAAATTCAAACCATTTTAAGTACCTTTTGTCCACATTGTTCACATAATTAATTAAAAATGATTAAGAATATGTGCTAAATAATTAACTAATTATGCACATATCAAAATACCCCACACTTGACTTTTGCTTGCCCCCAAGCAAAACTAAATTTTAGGCATATTAGAATCACATATAATAACTCCAATCTAACCCAGCCATTATGCCAAGACCGCAACCCATGCATTTGTGTCTAAAATTTTCCTAATGGCCCCCCATACTTCAAATACTCACAATCCTCATAAACATTCGCCCACTCACCCTGAACTATGTTCATTTTATGCAACCCTCCGAATCCATCCTCAGAAAACCTCTTTACCCTCAAGGTATTTTTAATTGAGCAACCCACGCATACATAATCTAGAATTACAACTTTTTGATACCACTATGGAGCTCTTTGAATTCTTCACTTCCTTGATAATCTGATCTTTGATCTGTTTGAATTCACCACCTTGTATTGATTGATTTTTGGTATCTTCAACTTTTTTGGATTTATTGGAATTTTGATCTTTAGATCTTCACTTTATTTGCTACAAAATTCTTACAACTTTTCTAGTAATTCTCTCTTTTTTTACATGTATTCCTCACTTTTTTCACTCAAATCCCTACATGCTTAAGCAGGGGCGCTCAATCCCAAACTTTATTGGCTAATGATAACAATTTTCCTGGATACATTTCAGGTTTAGGCTGCTAAACGTATTGCATCCCTCAGGCTGAGCAAGGTCATGTTTTTGTCTCATGATTTCACTGAAATGAGGAAGCCACAAATGCACTAGAACGTGTATAGGCTCAACTAAACATTTGGGTTTTCATGCAATTATCAACATAATTCTAACATGAAATCCTAATTTTCTTTTACCAAAATTTTCTAAATTAAATCCCTAAATCATATTTTTGGTATGCAACAATTTTTAAAATTAGCCTAAATTAAGATTCTAAATTTTCTAAAATGTGACTAACCCCCTACCCCACACTTATTTTATGCAATGCCCTCATTGCATACTATGCAAAAATAAAAATGCAAATATAGAGAGAATTGGAACAAACTCCCCTGGGGTAGCAGTCGATAGGTTGACACTCTCTTCTTCAGCTCCTTCTTCAATTGACTTTAGCCATGGGAACAACTCATCCATGGCTCGGGTGTCATGCGTCTCGTGTGGTTGACAGCTCGACAATTTCATGGAACAAGCTCGTTAGAAATTCTCCAGTAGCAATCCCTCACAAAGAGTGTATGAATGTTGCAGTGAAAGTGCTCAAAGCAATTCTAAAAATCCAAAAGTAGCAGGCTACTCGGCGAGTAGGCTCGTGGACTCGGGGATTAGGCCTTGATGCAAAATAAGATCGTGTAACATCGCATGTACTCGCCGAGTAGAGTTTGTGCACTCGGCGAGTAGTGAGTGTTTTTCCAAAATTGGTCTAGTTGCTGCTTCTCTCGACTTTGGTGTTGAAATCGGAAATGTAAACTGACCCTTACTCTAATTCCTTCAGCAGCAATACTCCCTATAACCCTCGACTCTCACGGACTCAATCCTAAGGACAAAACTCCATAATTGCTTGAAAATCGCTCATTCCTTTCTCGACCCTCACTAGTTAGTATGCTTCCCTATCTTCAATCCCTGAAAAAAATAAACAACTAACAGTGACAATAATAATCCACCCATCATAAAAATCCAAAATGTTTAACAATTGTCTTGAACAAAACATCATAAGCATAA